GTGGACTACAGCCCACTTCTTCGGATGCATCCGAAGAAGTGGGCTGTAGTCCACAAAAGCTTATGCTCTAATAAATTTGTTAGTCTCTAAGGTGCCACAAGTACTCCTGTTCTTCTTCTTATTGTACAAATGGGTTCTGAACCCTGAAGTCATTCCTGTTATTGATTGTCTCGATTGTTTCAGGGAGTAGCATGTAGGGAGGTAGGGAGCTTTTGGTGTAGCCGTGTCAAAATATAAAACAGATATTTCCTACTGTGGGGTGGAGAAGAGGCTTGAAAAATCCACTTAATTATGGTGAATGTGAAGTTGTCCCTAATAAGTCATCAACTTTTGCAGACTCAAAACATTTGTTTAAAAGGAAAAGTGTGTAGCCATTAAGGTAGAAGATAAATTTCCAGCCATGAACCAAGTACAAGTCAATATCTTTCTAAGTCTGTAAACCGATAGGTGCAATGTCTTTCTTTTTGCCTGGTTTATCTGCAGTTTTTGTACTGGTATAACTATTTTTGTTAGGGATATTTTTTTTTTAAGTGAAATAGTTATATCAGTACAATTCCTAGTGTGGACACAGTTATAAACGTATCTTGTACCAGAATGGTTTCTTCATCTTCCTGTATGGGTATAAGCCATACTAATATAACTGTGACGCACTTGTGGGATTGTACTGTTTTTATCACTCTCAGTATAGTGAAAGCAATACAACTTTTGTCTGTAGACACCGATTTAGTTGCTTTGGAAAATTCCACCGTAGTTCCTTTCACTTGCTTTCCATGGTAATTTTGCCATATGGTCCCAAGCATGAGCAGTGAATGCCAAGGAAGAGCACACTGTAACTGGATACTGATTGTATTTATCACCTTACAGTCAGAAACAATTTGAGATCTTCTGTGAAACAGTAATGATTGAAGAGCTAACGGATGTTAGGGTTGTACCTTGTATTTCTGAATAGGTAAAACGGTACAGCTTTTGTGTGTAAACAAGCCTGTCGCTACTCAAAGCCTTCCCAATCTGCAGCACAGTAATAGGGAACCCTGTAAGCAACAGTGAAGCTGACCAAGAATCTGATCTATTTCACTTTGTTGCTTATGACTTTTCTAGGTGGCAGCACAGAGGTAGGCACTGGAGGTATGCACTAGGGAGGAGGACCCCAAATGGAGGCTGGGAAAGGGTTGACCAGTGCAGACAACTGCTATTCTTGCAGCAATTAGGAGAATCAAGGAGCAGTGCCGAGAGAGAGAGTGCCTCCATCCAGTGTGTTTGGGGAATTCACATTTTAGGCACTTGAAGGCTGGTGGTTACAAAAGATGGAGCTCCTGGGTGTAGGGTCTGTGGACAGCACCCTGTTAGGAATCCAGAACCTTCCTCTTCATCCTAAAGTGAGTGTAGGGGAAAGAATAAATGGTAATTTTTCCAGGTTCTGCCCACATGTAATAGCAGAATAAAATTAAACTCATTGTAACTACTTTTGCATTCTTAAAGATTAGAGACTGGTTAGAGATTTAAAAAATCTTAAATTCTGAAGCACTTAAATTCTGATGCAGCCACTGGGCAAGTAGTTGTGATCTGGTCTAAGTCTACTCCACTCTTTCCTAGCAGATTGTTCAAAGGGGGTGAGAGGGCCTTGGGTTCTCAACAAAGCATTGTCTCTGTGGCTCCATATCTTTGGTGCTGTTTGTTTAGCTGGCTATTAGGGCTTGAAAAGTGTATGAAGGGGTGGGTATAAGTAGATAGGGTGAGTTTGTGGGTGTGAAGGGGAGAGTGGAGGAAACAAGACAGTGGATAAAAAAAAATCATGATTTTAAAATATCAAGTAATATTTATCATTCAAATCAGATTTTTTTTTTATTTATATGTTGCTAATTCTTTCTCTTCCTATTTTATATTCTTGTATGGGTAAAGTGGATATTTTCTACTTGTTTCTTTAATTAGTTTCCTGCTTGTTAGTAGAATTTCAGATTACTAGAGGTTTTTTCTGCTAAGAAGTTTCAAACTTAAAATGAAAAAGACAAGTCCAGGATTTCATTAACATCCATACTGTGTGTCTTAAGAGCCTAACTTTTAGGTTCCTGCTTCTAAAAACTTTGGTTTGAGTGATTTTTTTTTAATAAAGTTTGCAATAACTTTGTTTAATGTATTGAAATAATTTTCTTTAACACTGAAGCAGTTTTGTTTTGAAATGACAAAGATTTTATGCTACTGAGAGAAGTTTTTAATAAAATACAATTTTAGCCCCCAGTGCAGCAAACACTTATGCATGCACTTAGCTTTTAGTAAATGAGTAATCCTGTTGAAGTTAGTGGCGCTATTCCTGTGAGCAGAGTTATGTACCTGCTTACATGTTTACAAGATCAGAGCCTTAATTTTTGATATTTTTTCTTTTCCCTATATATAGCAATTTTGGAAAATTCAAATAGGCTAGTTCATTATAAATTTTAATGTAATGTGTTAACACAGAGTGTCTAATTGGTTTTACGTAGCCTCAATCTGATTTAAGTCAATTGTTTAAAAAGATTTAAATAATGATTTTAAATAGCCTTGTTTTTTTGTTTTTTTTAAAGCATGCTTAGAAAAGAAGACTTCACAGAGAGAATGAGATGGGGGGAGAGGAGGGAGCAGAACTTTTTCAAACCTGGGTGGGAATGTTTGGTTTAATAATGCAAATTATGGTAGTATGCTTTTGTATTTATCTATCCTGCACTGATCGCCAATATGTTTTACAATTATAACCACATCACAGTATAAAACAAGTTGGCTCACCCCTTCTTTTCTTTTACAATGTTGAGTGAGTATTCTCACTACTTGGCGTATTTGATTGACTAAGAACTGTTTGGAATAATCACTACAGCAAACCAGTTTTGTATAAATGCTTTCTTCTTATCCTGCTCTAGTCTATCAGTCTGAAAAGTCAGATAACTATATTTTATATCAGGCTCAATACCTGCCATCTGCCAGCCGTCAGTGAGGACACACTCTCCCCTGCCCCCCCCTCCTCCCCCCCCCCAGTCCCTCGGATGGGAGTGGCCGAATAACCATTCACAAGCAACTGTGGCCTCAGCAGGAGGCGGGAATGGGGATGCTCATACAACTTTGCATGGCTCCTCAATCCCCATAGCATGTTTCTGAAGTGACGCCCAGAATTTGCAGGATTGGTCCCTTGCTGAATCTTCCAGAGCTAAGTTAAGTGCCTAATGTGACAGTCAAAGCTTAAATCTTGTAGCTATTCTAGAATATTGAAAAGTTGACGTGCAGTAAAGTAGATTTTGAAGTTATAGAAGGAAGCTGATGAGGGCTCTGAGCACTCTGTGAAACCCAGGCAAGGTCTGGGGAGAGTCCTGTAAACAGCAACTCCTCTGGCTAATTTAAGGAGCTTCATTGACTGACTTCAGAGGAAGTCTCATTAGTCCTGTTCTTATTGGAGGATGTTGGCTGTGATGAGGGTAGGGAGAGGCACCCAATAATGACCCAGAAGCTCCCAGGTTACTTCAGTGAGTGTATGCCATTCTAACCCTTTCATGTGCTCCTGAATCAGTGCAGCCAGATTTACCAGGTACACTGTTACATTATAAGGTTGATTTCATTATACAGCATAACTGCAGGAGTGGAGGACTAGTGGCTAATACAGGGGTAGGCAACCTATGGCATGTGTGCCGAAGGCGGCACGCAAGCTGATTTTCAGTGGCACTCACATTACCCGGGTCCTGGCCACCGGTCTGGGGAGCTCTGCATTTTAATTTAATTTTAAATGAAGCTGCTTAAACATTTTAAAAACCTCATTTACTTTACATACAACAATAGTTTAGTTATATGTTATAGACTTATAGAAAAAGACCTTCTAAAAACATTAAAATGTATTACTGGCACGCGAAACTTTGAATAAATGAAGACTCGCACCCCACTTCTGAAAGGTTGCCGATCCCTGGGCTAATATAAAGTGTGAACAAATATTTTGAATTGCTTTTATATGCTGCTTAAATACAGGATGTTTATTCTGTAAGCAATAGAAAAATAGTATTTCTATGAAAAGTGTACTATGATATATTTATTAGTCACGGACTATTTAATTAAGTATTTTTTCAATATCTTAGGTTTTGCTATTGGCATGCCTGTCTGTGAATTTGATATGGTTAAGGATCCAGAAGTACAGGACTTCCGAAGAAATATTCTTAATGTTTGTAAAGAAGCAGTGGATCTTCGAGATGTGAATGCACCCCATAGTAGAGCATTATATGTCTGTCCGCCAAATGTTGAATCTTCACCGGAACTGCCCAAGCACATATACAGTAAACTAGATAAAGGTAAAACAAATGTTTGCTATAATGACTTAATGGTACTTATTTCTATTAACAAAAATTTCAGTTGGTACAATTCATGATGGCCGACAGGTGAATCGTTATTTATGTAGTATATTTAATACACTGTAGCAACGTCTTAGTATTTGGTTACACGCTTTGTCTTCAGTCAGGATAACCTGCTTAGTAGGAGTTGAACTCAAAAGAAATGCCACGTTTGATCAAGCACATAGAATATAGAAAATTGAACTAGGAAAACTTTTACAGCTTGAGTTATCCAGTTATTGCACTGATTGATGCAACTGTTTCAGTGATTATGTGACAGGGTGAAGTGATTTGCCAGCTGCTATTAGCATTTTTGTCTGAGTTCAGAAGTGTCTCTAATAATATTTAGAACATGTAGAATTAAATGATCCTGGAAACATAAACTGTCTTTTAGTCCTTAGTTACAGAATAGTCATATTGTCTGGAAAAAGATTGGCTGAATAAGTACTAGTTGTTTAGAAATAGTTTTGTAGTTAAATGACAGTTTGAATGTACATGTACTTGGACAGTAAGACCAGAATGGCTTTTTCAGAAGTCAATGTAAGTGGAGTCCACTGAGCACTTTTGCAGAAGGTTCTCTGCACTTTGGGCTGTGAATTGTGGCTGCATGTTCTTTCAGTAAGGATTATGACAAGCAATTCCGAGTCTGACCAGTTTCTTTAGAAGACTGTGTATGGGCAATAATAGAATCTGATGTTATTTCACATTATTCCAGGGCAAATAATAGTGGTGATATGGGTAATAGTGTCCCCGAACAATGACAAGCAGAAATACACGTTAAAAATCAACCATGACTGTGTTCCTGAGCAAGTTATTGCTGAAGCAATCAGGAAAAAAACACGAAGTATGTTGCTGTCATCTGAACAACTAAAACTCTGCGTTTTAGAGTACCAGGGCAAGTATATTTTAAAAGTGTGCGGCTGTGATGAATACTTGCTAGAAAAATATCCTCTGAGCCAGTATAAGGTGAGTTACTTGTTGTAAATTAATGGATTTATTTAAAAATACACTAGAAGAATTAAAACTGGGAGGGCAGTAAGGGACAGATGTATTAAGATTATGTGACTGACTTAAGTTTCATTTCTTAAACTAATTCAGAAGGCAGAAAATGAACATTCATATTAGCCAACTAGCTTACATTTTTGTGCAGTTGACTTTACTGCGTACAGTTAATTGCCATATAAATAAAAATGCAACGGAAGTGCTCAGCTTTGGTCTACCCAGGCTCCCGTTGAAGCCTGTGGGAATTTATTCTGATCGAGTAAAGGTCAGTGCTGAGCACTTTTGGCAATACCACCCTACGTTTCTGAGAGAGAGAATGCTGAATTACAAAATAGACATTACTACTGTAAATGACATTTTTATTTAGAAATAGATATTCTAACTCCTGTTTGCTTTGTGGTTATTGAAATAACAATACTGAGTATCCCTCCACTGCAGAAATTCTAGGCAAGTCGTTTTTAATTTTTCTTTGTCCCTGGGTTTATCTCTTTTTCTCCCCGCCTTGTGGTTTTTTTGTCTTAAGTAATAGCTATTACTTTGACAGGGAACCACTGGATGGAAGAGTGGATGAGCTGCTCCCTTTGGAGCAGACATCAATGTTACTCAATAGACCTGGTGACAGAAACTGACTGAGTTGTGTTGCTTTCTCTTTAGAGACTGTACCACTATTGTAACATGACACCTCCTGCCCTTTACCGCTAGCTGGAAACATGGAATTCAGAGAGAATGTGCTACTGCTGCAGACATGGATTATTTTTTTTCTTAAAATTTGTATATCATGCTGCCTGCTTGGTCATGTGCAATAGGCTAGTTAAAAGCATTGGTGTTGTAACTGAAAACAATGTAAAGGATGCGATAAAGATAACTGCTACAAGAGCTCATTAAATGTAATTTTTTTAGTCTTCTGGATTGTATATACACTTTCCTTTAATATTTTTAAGTGTTGATTACAAAGAAAATACAGCAAAACAGTCTTTTTTTTCTTTTTCTTTTTTTCTACCAACTATTGCAGTACATAAGAAGTTGTATAATGCTTGGCCGAATGCCCAACCTGATGCTGATGGCTAAGGAAAGCCTTTATACCCAGCTGCCACTGGATACCTTTACAATGCCATCTTATTCCAGGCGGATCTCTACAGCTACACCATACATGAATGGCGAAGCTTCAGCCAAATCTCTCTGGGTCATAAACAGTGCTCTCAGGATAAGAATTCTCTGTGCCACCTATGTAAATGTAAACATTCGAGACATTGACAAGGTAAGTGAAATTCTGAATGCCTGGATGTTAAATTATTGCCTAGAATCAGAATGAAAACACTGAGCCACACTCAGTTCAATAGGCCTCTCTAACAAAATTAGGGAATCAGTTGATCAACAATATATGCTGATACCAGCTACTAGTGTTGATTAGGGGCCTAACTCACACTTCAAGTCAGTGGAAGGACTCTCACTGACCAGTGAGTATTGGACAGGGCCTTGGCGCATACAGAGCACACAGACAACTAGCAAAGTTTATATTTTCAAAGCACATTTTCTAACTAAAAGTACATGATAGACCAGGGCTGGGCAAACTACAGGCTGTTTTAAGCCGGCCCTTGAGCTACTGCTGGGGAGCGCGGGATCTGGGGCTTGCCCTGCTCCAGCACTCCAGTCGGGGCACAGGGTCGGGGGCCACTCCACACGGCTCCCAGAAGCAGAGCCATGGCACCCCCCTTCGGCTCCTATACGGTCCAATGGTCCCCTCTGGCGCTCCAATGGGAGCTGCAGGGGTGGGGTCTGCGGACGGGGCAGCGTGCAGAGCCACTTGGCTGCACCTCAGCGTAGGAGTCGGAGGAGGGACATGCTGCTGCTTCCAGGAGCCGCTTGAGGGAAGCGCCACCCGGAGCCTGCACCCCTGAGCCTGTCCCCACGCCCCTACCCCAGCCCTGATCCCCCTCCCACCCTCTGAACCTCTCGATTCCAGCCTGGAGCACCCTCTTGAACCCAAACTCCTCATTCTGAGCCCGCACCCGCAGCCAGAGTCCTCACCCACGCCTGGAGCCCCCTCCCACACCCTGAACTTCTCATTTCTGGCCCCACCCCAGAGCCCACACCCCCCAAACACAGCCCTCACCCACTCCTGCACCCCAACCCCAATTTTGTAAGCATTCATGGTCTGCCATACAATTTCTATTCCCAGATGTGGCCCTTGGGCCAAAAAGTTTGCCCACCCCTGTGATAGACCATCAAATAAGGAAAAAAATATGGTTAAGCTGCAGTATATTTGAAAAGGCCATATAAACGCCTCTTTAAAAAAACAAAACAACATTGAAAGTATCTTCCAGAGGTTAAAAGTGGTGTGCGCACATGCTGCTCCCAATGCCACCATTTTTTCTTTTGACATACATAGAAGTCAGTACATAAATTCAGGCACATGCTTTCAAACTTGGCTGCCTAAAGTACCTAAGTCTATCTTTAGGTATCCAAATACATTACCTGATTTTTTCAGAGTTTTTTAGCACCCTCAGCTGACATTGATTTCAGTGGGTACTAGGAATTACATGACATATTAGAAAATTAGGCCACTTTGGTCTTCTTCATTTAATAAGAAGCATCATAAAACTTCTAAAATTTTCCCTTTTACATATTACTGTAATTTACAGTCTGTGCAACCCAAAGCATCGAGGTTGAATGCTTAGCAATTTGTAGTATCAGGTCTTAATTTGGTGATTTATCTAAAATAAACTTGGGGAGAAGCAGGAAAAAATAAGTAAAGATTTTTCTTGTGTATCTTAAAACAACAAATACTATGCTTAAAGAGCCATTACTGTAAGAACTGGGACAAGTTTACTACCCTTACTTGAAACAAAGAAAGATTCAGCATAAACTGTTACCACCCTAGCTCTTTTGCATGCTTGGAAGTTGCCCAGTTTATCTTCCATCCCCGTGGCTTGCCCTGGTAATCAAGAATAAATTCCAGTTATGTTACTACTTAGTTATTTGAAATGCAGTCATAACTAACTTTGAAATGGTGATGCAGAGATAGTAAACTAAAATTTTGTACTAGAAGCACAGTAAGAATACTTTACAGTATGTGAACTCATTTATGCCATCTAGCTTTCTCAAATTGATAGAAATTAAAGTGTGACACATGGTTCTAATCAGCATCTAATAGTGTTGGTGTTTACAGTAAAACCTTTGTTCAGACTAGGGTCTAGCATTCAAATGGGCTATAACAGGTGATAATGCTTAAACACGTTATTTTCAGATCTATGTCCGAACTGGTATCTACCATGGAGGAGAACCATTATGTGACAATGTGAATACTCAAAGGGTACCTTGTTCCAATCCCAGGTAAATAATGTTACTGTAACAATTCAGGGAAATCTGATTTCCAGAGTTTTCTAAAGCAGAAATAGATTGTCAGTACCAATTTTTACCACCAAGCAGGGGAGTATCATTAAGATAGTAGGCCCCACCAAGAGAAAAAGCAAGCCTTATTTTTTAAAAGGAGGTACTGAAAATCAATTATCATAAACTAAAAACGTTCTTATTTAGCGTGTATAGTTGTCGAAGAATTATAATTAATCACTGGAGTTTTCCTTTTCAATTGATTACTCATTTCCGTTTACAAATTTGTTTAATTGGATTAATTTAGGCTTTGCAGATCTTCATTTTGGCTTGTAAAATATTATGTAAAAGCAGCAACCCTTTTACTCAACAGGTCTGTTCTCTATGTGTATTCAGAATTTTGTCTGTGACCCAAAAATTTGCTACATTTCCCCTTTTTGTTTTACAATACAGAACCAGCATAGCTACTGGAAATTGAACTAGATTCTGTTCTGGCTTGTGACTTGTTAGCAAAGCTCCAATTGCAAGTTCACATTCTGCTTGTAACATGCAACAGTTCTTTTCAGAGGGTTGCACAAGTGTTTGCCCTGCAGAATCTATCACTATGACAAAAAGACAAACATAGCTTGACTTTCAGATCCCAAGGTGTGTTTGCAGAGCTGGCTGCTTAACATATTGTCTTCTACCACTTGTTCTGTTGATCTCACACTAGAATCTGGGTACATGACTGGGGTTCCTAGGCAATATCACAATACAAACAATCTGTTTGGGCAATTGTTTTTCAATGAGTGAGGCATAATAAACAGGGAACCTCACAATACAGTTTAATAGAATCACTTCTCAAAATAAAACCACACTTTGTCAGGGGTCTCAAACACGATGCGGCCCGCGGAGTTATTTCCTGCGGCCTGCCATAGGCGCCAACTGCACCGGCAGCCAAGCTACCCTCACTCCCCCCGTCCCCCCTCGTTCTCCCCTCCGAGCGCACCGCGTCTCCGCTCCTCTGCCTACTTCCCAGCGCTTCCTGATTCTAAACAGCTGTTTGGCGGCGCTTAGGACTTTCCAGGAGGGAGGGGGGAGGAGCATGGAGGGGGCGGCATGCTTGGGGAGGAGGTGGAAAAGAGGTAGGGCTGGGGCAGGGGATTTGGGGAAGGGGTTGGAATGGGGGATGGGGAAGGAGTGGGAAGAGGCGGGGCAGGGGCAGAGCCTCATGGATTAGATGAGCAGTCTGAGGTATGACGTTCAGTATGTACGATTCTTTGCTGTGAGTAGTTGGGAAGAATATTTGTTAAAAGTGCCAATGTATTTTGTAAGAATAGTTACTTTAAAAAGTTCCTGCCATTACAGCTATGTTGATAGACTGTTAGTGTAGATCATCATCAGTGTTACTGACCACATAAGGAATAGTTACAGGTGTTTATATTTTACTAAAACCCCTTTTTGCATTACAGTTTTTAAAAAGTTGTTAAATTGACTTTTAATAGCATAGTATATTACTCTTCATTTTTTACTATACTTTTGTATCTTTATATGAAAAGGTTTCAGTGATGCGGCCCTTGGGCCAACGAACTAGTCCACATTTGTGATTTGGTGATTTGAGTTTGAGATCCCTGCTTTAAGTGGAAACCTTTTTCACTATCAACATGTTGGACTGTGATTTAATCAATGTCCACCAACCCAACACAAGCCATTAGGGAGGGGAAAATGCTGTTAGGGCTTCAGGGCAACTGGAAGTCTGGAATTAGGATGCCCCTGAAATATAGCATGGAATAGAAAGAGCTTTAAAAAATATAGGAATAGATACTGTTAGGGGAAAAGAGTTTTGTAAGCGAGAAGAGAAAAGTGTATAAATAAAAATACAGAGGAAAAGGTGGAATTGACATACACTGTGGCCCATGTAAAGAAGAGCTACGAGGCAAAGAGAAATTCAGAGAGCAGTTCACTAGAATGGAAATTAATTGATTTGAAAACCTAAATAGATTAGATCTACTCTGGTTTGTGTCTAAAAACGAAATGTGGAAATTCAAATGGTGGTGATGTAAATACAAAATGTGTGTGGTACAAATGTATGCCAGTGAATTTAAAACCAAGGTCTTAATCTCTAAAAAGTACTTTGCAATTTCTTCAGTGTTCGCTCTCTGGCTCTAATGATAGTTGTGGGGTCTCAGTATCTGCTTGGATCAGCCCCAGAATGTATTCAGAAATAATTCCAAATTCACATTTTCTGTCTGATTGACCTTGCATGTCTTTAGAAAAGTTTATTAGTTGGTACTTAAATTTTGCTTGCAAACACTACTGCTCTCCAAGGGAATGAATAGATATTCTATTAGGCCTGTTAATTATATACTATATGGTTATTGAAAAATAATTTCTCTCCCCCAGTAGCTGTGGTTCAGTTTATCTGCAGTGTTAATATAGTGTATGGATGTTTGGGGAGGAAGTCTCTCTTTAGGGAAAGAATGATGAAAGGTGTTAGTCCAGAACATTATCATATTCATTAAAAAAGTTTTTCCATTCTTTGTCTTCAGCCACTGGCTCTTCTCCAAAGCTCTTGAGGCTGCAAGGTAGCCATTTCCCCCCTGTATTGTAATTTCAGGGGAAGGAACTTTCAGAAAAAGTTGCCCCTCCATATCCCTAGTCTTCTGATAGCAGGTACTAGCAGCCAACAACAGGGATTGCAGCTGTATTGGGGGTTCTGAGTTGTGTAGTTCTGTAGTGACTGCAGCATGAATCCACTTAAAAGGAATCTTTTCAACCATGCTGTACTTTAGCTCCCTACTATGTGAGAGGCTGTGCGCACTTTTGTTTTTCCATCCCGGAGAAGACCATGTGGATGGAAATGAAGGTGGCTTATACCGACAGCCGCTGCCTCTAAAGTTTACGCTCATCAGAAGCTTCATGATAGGCCACCCTTTTCTCTTGGTGGAGGATTATATCACTTGATGTAGCTCATTTGCGTTCCAGAATCTGCATCCGTATCCCTTCTGCATTAGCCTCTTGCAGGGGAGCTTCATCCACCCAAGACAAGAAACCAAACATAGCAGCACTATACTGGTTCATGAGAACCAGAAGGTGAATTGACTCTAAACAGACTGGTCTAGTTTCACTATCCATGCTGAGTAAACAATACAAATGGTAAAAAAAATAATCTAATGTGACCTACATTTTGTTAATAGGAAAATGAATGATCTTGTTAGCCTTGGTTCAACTCTCCCATTCACCAAAAGAGCTGTTGATGTGGAAATTCACCAAGCGCTGTTCTCTCTGATCTCTCTGTTGCTGAGTTCCCCCTCTCAGACTCACTTGGTCTTTTTCAGTATCGCTTATTGGCAAACTCCCCCTGTCACTTGACCTTTCCATATGTTGAATGGAAAGAATCTATTGGAATTCTTTTGAGGGGGTCAACAGGCATCTGGGTAAGGGTGATCCAGTGCATATAGTGTACTTGGACTTTCAGAAAGCCTTTGACAAGGTCCCTCACCAAAGGCTCTTAAGCAAAGTAAACAGTCATGGGATAAGAAGGAAGATTCTCTCATGGATCAGCAACTGGTAAAAGGATAGAAAACAAAGAGTCAGTTTTCACAATGAGAGAGGTAAATAGTGGTGTCCCTCAAGAGCTTATACTGGGACCAGTGCTGTTCAACATATTCATAAATGATCTGGAAAAGGGGTAAACAGTGAAGTAGAAAAGTTTGCAGACAATACAAAATTACTCAAGATAGCTAGGTCCAAAGCAGACTTTGAAGAATGACAAAACTGGGTAACTGGGCAGCAAAATGGCAGACGAAATTCAACGTCTACATACAAACTGATGGGGTCTAAATTAGTTATCACTCAAAAAAGAGATCTTGGAGTCATTGTGGATAGTTCTCTGCAAGTATCTGCTTAATGTGCAGCTGCAGTCAAAAAAGCTAACAATGTTAGGAACCATTAGGAAAGGGTTAGATAATAAGACAGAAAATATCATAATGCCACTATATAAAGCCATGATATGACCACAGTTTGAATACTGCATTCAGTTTTGGTTGCCCCATCTCAAAAAAAGATATATTAGAAATGGAAAAGGTACAGAGAAGGGCAACAAAAATGATTAGGGGTATGAAACAGCTTCCATGTGAGGAGTGAGAGAGAAGGACTGGGACTGTTCAGCTTGGAAAAAGACACAACTGAGTGGGGATAGGATAGAAGTCTATAAAATCATGAATGGTGTGGAGGAAATGAATAAGGGTGTGTTATTTGTCCCTTCATGTAACACAAGAACCAGGGGTCACAGAATGAAATTAAAAGGCAGCAAGTTTAAAACAAAGAAAAGGAAGCACTTCTTCACACAATGCACAGTCAGCCTTTGGAACTCCATTGCCAGAAGATGTTATGAAGGCCAAACTAGGTTCAAAAAAGAATTAGATAAGTTCATAGAGGATAGGTCCATCAGTGGCTATTAGCCAAGATGATCAGGGATGCAATCCTATACACTGGGTGTCCCTAAGCCTCTGGCTTCCAGGAGCTGGGACTGGATGGCAGGGGATGGATCACTCAATAATTGCCCTGTTCTGTTCACTCCCGCTGAAGCATCTGGCACCAGCTACTGTCGTAAGACAGAATACTGGCCTAGATGGACTCTTGGTATGTCCCAGTATGGCCATTTTGACATTCTTATTTCCAATCCAATGCTAACAACTTGTCTGCTTTCAGCCTTCTCTTCTACTGTTATGGTGGTTGATTCTCTTTTTCTCCTCTCCTCTATCCTTACTCTTTTGCCCGTCTCTCCCCGCCCTACCATCCCCCCAGTCCTGGATCACTCTCAATAGCTGCTTCCTCTGTTTTTGCTCTCATGCCATGGAGCATCTCTGGCAGAAATTCTGTGACCAGGCTGACCTTCCTCCACTACAGATTTGTTCTTTCCTCTGTAAGTTCTGCCATCTTCCTAGCTAAACAACTCTACTTCTCCAACTTAATTACATCTCAACTACCACCTTATCTCCCTTTTCCCTTTTATTTCTAAGGTTATTGAACACATTGTTTACAATTACTGTCTGGAGTTCCTCCCCTCTAGTTCCATCTTAGACCCTCTCCAGTCCAGCTTCTGTCTCTTGCTTTCAACTGAAACTGCTCTTGCCAATCGTCTCTTCTTAGCCATATCTCGGAACTAGTACTCTATCCTCATCCTCATTGACCTGATAGTTGACCATTCTCTTCTTCTTGAAATCTTATCCTCCCTTAGCTTCCATAACTGTTTTCTCCCTCCCCTAGTTCTCCTCCTAACTCTCTCATTGCTCCTTCTGCGTGTCCTTTGGAGGATCTTCATCATGCCATCTCCCAATTTGGGGGCGGGGAGGGAGGATTCTGCAAGGCTCTGTCCCTGGTCCCCTTCTCTTCTCCCTCTGCACCTCTTTCTCTGGGTAATCTCCTCCACAAACACAAATTCAACTCTATGGGGCCAACTCATAGATCTACCTCTCTACTCCAGTCTCCTTCTGTCCAAACTAATATCTTAGCGTATCTCTCTGAAATCTCTTTTTGGTTGTCTTGCTGTCAGCTCAGGTGCAACATGGCTACAAGAGAGCTCTTTATCTTCCCCTTGAAGGCCTCCCAGCTGCCTCCTTTCTTTTTCCTGTGGACAACTCCACTTGCCTCCCAGTTGCTCATACTCATAATCTGGTGTCATCTTTGACTTGGACTTCTCTCTAGATCCTCACATCCAACCTAGATCAAAGTCTTGTTGATTCTTTCTGCATGACAACTCCAAGATATAACCTTTCCCATCCATTCACACAACTAAAACTCTTGTCCAACCTTTCATCAATGCATATCTCAAATACTGCAATATCCTTTTCTCTGGCCTTGGTTAATTCAGTCTTGCCATTCAGAATGCTGCTGCAAAAATCATTTTCCTAGCCTGTCGCTTTAACCATGTCACCCCTTTCTTTATGGCCCTCCACTGACTTCCCCTTCTGTCTTGCATCAAACCTGTTACTCGTCTTCACTTTCAGAGCCCCTTGCAGCCTGCACTACCTATCATCTCTCATTCACTACCAAGATATTGACTCTTGCCTCCGATTGGTCAATGATGACCGCATCCATCCTCTAATTGTTACGTTTTCAAACATCTTTGTGCTTTCTCCCATGCTGCCCCTCACACATTAGAGGAGTTCCGAGTAAATAGTTGCAAAGCTACATCAATATCCTCCTTCAAACTCTTTACTTTTCTGTGATGGCTCCAAAAAACTGAACAAAAACTAGGCCACTGGTGCACAGAGGCCACAGCCTGTCATTCTGACCATTGTTGTCTCGTGTCTTTATATTCCCCCATCTATCTGTATCCATCTGTTTTGTCTCTTGTTTTATACTTAGATTACAAGCTGTTTGTGGAAGGAACTGTCCTTTCATTCTGTTTGTACAGCACTTAGCATAGTGGGTTTCTGATCCATGACTTAAGACTCCTAGGTGCTACGATAATACAGGTAACACAAGAACTAGGGGCCACCAAATGAAATTAATAGGCAGCAGGTTTAAAACAAACACAAGCAAGTATTTTTTCACACAACACAGTCAAGCTGTGGAACTCCTTGCCAGAGGATGTTGTGAAGGCCAAGACGATAACAGGGTTCAAAAAAGAACTAGATAAATTCATGGAGGATAGGTCCATCAATGGCTGTTTGCCAGGATGGGCAGGGATGGTGTCCCTAGCACTGTTTCCCAGAAGCTGGGAGGGGGTGACTGGGGATGGATCACTTGATGGTTCCCTGTTCTGTTCATTCCCTCTGGGGCATCTGGTATTGGCCACTGTCGGAAGACAGGATACAGGGCTAGATGGACCTTACTCTGACCCAGTATGGCCATTCTTATGTTCTTAAATAATATCAGTCTCCTTTTAAGCAGAAATCCAAAGAGTAAGGTCTATGTAGAGCTAAGGGAGCACTATTGATACACTTGCAACTTTTAAGAACTTAATGTTCGCTTTTAAAATGCTCCTTTTTAGCATTTTGAGTTAGCTTTTCAGTTCTTCCATGAGCATAGTCAATTTTAAAAGCTGGTGCCCTCTTCGAACAGAGGAAATCTAACTTGGCAACCCAACAAAGAAAATATAATTATGCATCTTTGCTTTTGTAGGGTAATAGCCAAACATATAAGTTGATATATTCAACATGTTTTAAGAAGTCTATAACAACAATAATAATGATAATACTTGGTAGTTCTGTAGAGCCAAATTCTGCTCTTTGACACCCAAGTGTAAATTTGAAGTAACTCCATTAACTTCAGTGGAGTAATCCCAGAATTAGTGTTTGTAGCAGAGAGCAGAGTATGTGCCTGTTTGTTATTTATATGGAGGTTAAAAGGTGATGGAACTCCAAAAATTGCCTTCATGTGAAGAGTATGTAATGCTAGGGAGCTATTGAGATGAAAATCCCTACTGTCACTTATAGAAGACTGTAAAATTTCAATCCTGCTGCTCTGTAAAATGAAGCATTTGAAGAAACCATTTGTAATTATAACAATCTTTATCTTTACAGCCTTATTTTATTAGTTACAGTGCAGTAATTGGTTGCACTCACTGTTCTTCAGGCTTCTCTGACTTTCATTGGCTAAGAGACATCCTGTACTAAATTCAAGTATTCTTCTCCAGTGTTGTTAATTGTTTCCTGTGCAGCTCACAGGCTGGGACCCCCGCTAGTGTTGGGGTGGGGGGGTTGGCAGGCCCGGTAGGCTCCCTACCTGGCTCCACGCCTCCCCCGCCCCCCGCAACGGCAGAGTTTGGGTGTGGAAGGGGGTAGGGGGTTGAGGCATGGGAAGGGGTGAGGCAGGCTCTGGGCGGCGTTTTCCTGGGGGGGCTCCTTGGAAGCGCCGACACCCCCCTCGCTCAGCTGCTAGGCAGAGGCGTGGCCAGGCACCCAGCTCCCATGGGCCGTGGTTCCTGGACAATGGGAGCTGCAAAGCTAGCGCTCTGGACGGAGGCAACGTGCAGAGCTGCCTGGCCACGCATCCACCTAGTAGCTGAGGAAGGGGGATGTCGCTGCTTCCAAAGGGCCCCCCCAGGTAAGCGCCGCCCAGAGCCCGCCTCACCCCGTCCCGTGCCCCAGCCGCCTGCCCCCTCCCACACCCAAACTCTGCTGCTGGCGAGGGTCCAAGACTGCCCCAGCAGCAGCACAGGGGCTGCCTGAGCTGCCCCTGAGCCAGGTGCACCGTCCGCTGCAGAAGTCATGAAGGTCACAGAAAGTCACGGAATCCCATGACCTCCATGACAAACCCGCAGCCTTACATATTAGTTATATCCTGTTCTGACGTGCTTAGATTTTTTTGCTCGACTTAAGCCTACTAAAGTGCTTAAAAATGCGTGGCCCTATATTGTAATGTAACTATAAATATGGCATTGTTTCCGAATGATCCCAATACTGAGTTTACAAGTAGAAACACATATTTCCAACTAACTAGTTCTTGTAACTCAAACTGGGCTCTGAGAGTCAAGCCAACTTCTTTACTTTGTATGCATCTTCATGAATAGTTAAAGATTTTGCAGGCCAAATTTAAATCCTCAATAACAACCATGCAAGCCCATGTCTTCAGACTAGGCCTACGTTGACAATTACAGTCAGGGAGTCTGCGCAAATGTGGATTAAATTTGGTAAACAATTCTATTGATGAGATGCCCAAGAAGGAATAAAATCCAGCTCGCTTTCTCTGAGCGACATTGGTTCTGCAGGGCTAACTAGAGTAAAAAGCAATAAGGACTTTGGTGACTAAAAGCAGTAGACATGACTGAATACATACAGGAGGGTGATCTGCTCAATCAGAAAGTGCCATTTTGATGATGATGCTCTTCTAGAGTAGAAATATATATTTAATATCCTTGGAGGAGGAACAAACTCTGATTTTTTCCATATCATTTTGTGCCTATTTACTAACTAAAGTGTACTGAGTTTTATCTGTTTTAACCTGGTTTTTATTTTACTTTTAAAATCCCACAGATGGAATGAATGGCTGTCATATGACATGTACATTCCTGATCTCCCACGTGCTGCTCGGCTTTGCCTTTCCATCTGCTCTGTTAAGGGCAGAAAGGGTGCTAAGGAGGTAAAATATTGAATAATTTTAATAGTTCTAATGTGTGGTAAGATAAAACTCCAGGTAGCCAAGTTGGGGAAGAACAGTTGGCCAACACTTCAGTAGAAGTTGGTCTTACCAAAATCTTTTATTTTCTTGAATTTTTTTTTGATTAAAATATCACCCAAGATGTATAGAAACTTCTCTTAACTTTGACTACAAAATAATTTTTTTGTTACCTGATATATTTGTTGTATATTATCCATGCAGCACTAATTGTGGTCTGTATTGTTGAACAGAAAGGGTTAGGCCAAAATTTTCAAACATGGGTGCCTAAAGTTAGGTTCCTCAAGCCATTCTTAGGTGCCTAAAAAATACAGGTGTGTGAGAAGGTGCTGAGCATTTGTATCTCCTTTTGACTTAAATGGGAGTTGGGGTTGCTAAGCAATTTGAAAAAAATCAGCAAGCTTTACAGAGGTGCCTAAAATGTGGGTTTTGGATCCTAACGTTAAGCATCCAGGCTCAAAAACTTTGGTCTTAAGTGTGTGTGTGGGTGTGTGCTGATGTACTATCCGTTTTTTGTTAGTTTGTGAGTATATAAGACTTTGCAGTTTTGTGCAGTTTAAAATCCTTGAAAGACTTACTTGAGGAAAAAATCCTGGTAGGCAGCTGTAGCTGTTTAGATTGTGTTCTTTGAAATGATTGTCACAGCAGCTGACAAGACAGAGGTTTGAAGTCTCACAGGGAAAATATGCTACAGCTGTCATAATTTGCTCTCTGCTAACCTACATATTTGATAATCCATACTTTCACATACACTGTCTCTCCACATTTGACAGTAAGGGTTTAATAGCAGAGACATAGTGCTGTAATGATGTCTCATGACAAATCTTATATGTTCTGTAATATATTGTGTAAATTAAGTATTATCACAAATAATTAAAACTAGATTTGTCAAAATGAACAGAGTACAACTTACGATGTAATTCTTGCCTTTTAATTGTTTGCTCTTTTTGCTAACTTAAAAAATTGATTAATTATGGTAATACATTATTTATTCTTAATAGCAAGGTTCTACTACACTATTTTCCTTAATCCAGCTGACACCTGATATCCAAACAAGATTGCCTGAAAAAAGTATTGAGAAATATCTGATTCAGCGTGCATGCACATGACTTTCATGCGCATGTGGTGTTGTTGCTGTTTTCTTGGTTAGAAAACTTAGAAATCAAGATATAACAAACAAGCAAGTCAAAAATGTAGGAAAAATAGTGGCTGTTAACTATGCTGGCTTTCATTTTGATAAATTATATTATTTCTGGTTTCCCATAGTGTCAATGCACTACAATACAAATAGTGTTTTGATCTACTTTATAATTGTGTGATTCCATAGTTCAGTTTTTCAAAAATCTTTTTCCTCCTCCCTTTATTCCTTGAAATCCAATATTGTACTATAACTTGATCACTCTTCACTCTCATTTATTAATGATCATTTGATCTTTTTAAGGAACACTGCCCATTGGCTTGGGGAAATATAAACATGTTTGATTATACAGACACTCTTGTGTCTGGGAAAATGGCTTTGAATCTGTGGCCTGTGCCTCATGGGCTGGAAGATCTGCTAAATCCTATTGGCGTTACTGGGTCAAATCCAAATAAGGTAAATTGATGCTTATATTCTAATTTCAGCCTTAGTAACACACATCTACTTGTTCAGATTATAGTGATTTCTAATTTATAATTTGTTTGAGAACAATCATGAAAATTCTTTTTTCCTCAGGAAACTCCATGTTTAGAGCTGGAATTTGATTGGTTTAGCAGCCCTGTAAAGTTTCCAGACATGACAGTGATTGAAGAACATGCCAATTGGACTATATCTCGAGAACTAGGGTTTAACTACAGCCATGCGGGGCTGGTAAGGAGAATTTATTTTCCAGGATTAGATACTAAAACTTTAAAATATTTGCACATTTTGAAGTGCTTTATTTGTGGGGGGAAATATATTTTATATCAAAATACATGAAGCCAAATTTTTTTTGATAAACACCGGACAAAAAATGGCCAACAGGTTCTGTCTCTTGCAGTAAAACATCTTGATGCTTCACTGATCAACCAAAATCTTTTAAGGATATAACTGTGTCTTACTGTGCAAACCGTTCTGGACTTTTTTCCAGCTTATATAAACAATTTGTCTAGATGTCTGAACGTTACATTTTTTGCAAAATTAACTTAATAGGGTTAGAGTCTACATCAGTGGCACTATTCTTTTAATTTTTCCCTCTCTCCCCTCCCTCCCACAATTTCTTGTCTGTTGTATATACGTTTTATCATTGAAAAAATCTTTCTTTTATAGTCTGTAATATGCTCGTAACTTCTTTGGCAATGCTGATCTCTAAGTTCTATGTTCTACCAAACTGCCAAAAGTTAACTTTACTAGTAGTCAGAGATACAGTGTCTTGAGCTGAGCCCCATGCATTCTGTGATTCGGTGACCTTGAAATTTACCACCAAATCTATCTATTGCTTCAAATGCTGAGCTTCCTTTTTTTATTAAATTATATTTCTAGCCCTGATGATTAAGTAGAAAACCTCAAAGATGTGAATGAAAACCAATTCAATGTTTTCTTCCTGAAACAATAGCTCTTATATGTAAACTCATTCATGTCAAAAGACTGTTGGCACTGAAACCTAAAAATGGTAGTTTAGGTCCAGTTTACTTCAGAATCCCATGGGGCCATGAGTATATGCTATAACCTTAGAAGACAGACGCTAAGTGCTTTTCCAAACCATTCAGACTGTTTGTTTTTATTTTGTACATCCGTTTTGTTCTGGCTGGGCCAAACATGAGTGGCACTGCCACCCCAAGAGCCACGTCGCAATGTCACTCAGTCAAATTTGGCCTGGCTGCCTCCACAAACCTCCCTGAAATTAACTTGAAAATGTTGGTCAGTATGGACTGCACTGTGTCTGCAAACTCTTCAAAATGCTTTCCCCTGCCCACGAGCGCAACCTCGGTCTTGGTTGGGTTCAGCTTCAGTCAGCTGTTCTTTGTCCTTGAGCTGATCTTCTCCAAGCACTGGGCTGCCCTAATGGTAGTGGCATGGCCATGGGTGGTGAATGATAAGTAGGGCTCTGTGTTGTCTAGATATTGCAGTCTCCTTCTGTTACCATTACTGGCCAAAGTTTCAAATGTAGGTGCCTAGAGTTATGTCCGCTTCACCTTCTTTAAAACACGCACACACAATTCAGACTTGGGTGTCATATTTTGCACATAAATAAGGAATAAATTGTCTTTAAGACGCAGCCCTGAATAAGAGGGGAAAGGGTAATATAGGCACACTGCCCGTGGGAGCATCAAGTTCAGGGTGAATAGAAATCAGTGATTTCTTTTGGAAAAACTAAAACAGTATTTTTATTTAAATCAGATATTTTTTTATTTTATTTAAATTGTTTTTTAAAAATAACTCTTTAAAATGAAATCTGAATGTAATACAAAATATGTTAAACCCTAAACTTCTTATAATCTCTTAAAACATTTTAAATGAGAAACAAATATGCTGAATCCATGAGCCTCTACCAAAAAAAGCTGCTTTTTTTTTATGAAGAATGAAAATGGGGAAAAAAATCTAACTTTTGAGATCAAGCTTTATGAATATGGCACATTAGGTCATGTACTGTATTAAGAGCTTATTTTGTTTAATAAAAATAAATTGTATATGCTGTTGTGTGTTTAATTAAATTCTAGTTGCTATCCTAATGCAGCTTGACACAAATCATGAGCAAAAATTAATTAGCTAGTAAATAGGCAATATATCATTCACCATTTTCTAACATGCTAAACATGTACAATTAATCAGAATCTGAAAATATTAAGCTATAGAATTGCTTAAATAAAACTGTTATAATGTACCAAATCTAGTTCTATTTAGTTGTAAATCAGCATGTTTTAATGGGTATATCAACCAATGAGAATGCATCTTCACCGTAGTGAAGACACGGTAAGTCAATCTAAGTAGGTCGACTTCAGCTACGTTATACGTAGCTGAAGTTGCGTAACTTAGATCGATTCCCCTCCCCCCAGTGTAGACCAGGCCTCAATATTTCCTCTAAGAGCCACAATACCTCCTTTTCTTCTCTGGAGGAGGAGTAAGTTATGATACCCCTTTATGTGAGACAGCATATATGCATCCCAGCTTGGCTTGTAGCCCTATTGTGGCCTCACAAAGTGGGTAGGAAGCCTCCCACCCCAATTCCTTTGTGCGGCCATGTTAGTGCTAGGCATGATCTAACACTAAGTGGCCTGATTTTCAGAGAGGTTGAGAAGTTTGAATCTGATTGGAGCAGTGGGTGCTCAGTACCTCTGAGTCAGTTCATTTTATTAGGTGCCTAAATGTGAATTTAGTTGCCTAACTATACAATATTGGCTATCATCATCACTGTTGTAACTTACATGAAAGAAATAAGTATACAAAGAAATAAAGACACAGTCCCTTCCTTGAAGAGCTTCCTGTTTTTAAATTGTGATCAGAAAGAGGAACGCGAAAGGGAAAGGAGGGACAAAGTTGACAAAAAAAATTAGGGTAACCTGATTGATGTTACTTTATGAACCAAAAGGCATAGCAGTGGGAATAAGAGACAGATTTTGGTGGTAACATAGGACGAGATGTGACAAGGTTTGATAAGGGCCTGCATGTGAAAGGAGAAGGAAAGGGACAACTTTAAGAGAATACCAGAGTTGTGAGCTTGAGTACCCAAGGGATAGTGGAGTTGTCTGAAACTGGGGGAAAAAGGGTGAAGAAGAAAAGACAAAGTTTACATGTTTGGCAGCCTAGGATTGAGGAAGCAGTAGAAGATACTGAAGAAATAGGAAGAGATGCAATCCTTGATAGATGAGGGGTAGATCTGAGAGTCACTGGCATAGAGGTGATAAGAGATCAGCCTTATGTATGAGGTTGTACAAGGAAAAGAGAAGGGGGGATGAGGCAGACTCTGAAAAACTGTAAAAAAGTTGAAGAAGTGCGATAAGTCAAAGGCAACACTGAAGGAGGTTACATGCAGGTGAAGAATCAGGAAAGAAAGGGCTGTAAGTCCACATAAGATGAAGATAGTTTTGAGAGCTGGGTGGTCAACAGTATTAAAGGTAGCAAAGACTGAAAAGAATGCATATGGTCCTTAGGATTGGCAAGGAAGAGATCAGTAGTGACTATAATGAGGGTTTGTAAATTAGTGGTTTCTAAAGTGTTCATCTCTACAGTAGCTGAAACCTGTCTAGGTTCTTACTTTGAGCCCATGACTGTGGTACCTTTAAAAATTACAAAGCACTCTCCTGAATGTCCCTATTTCTCTTTCTTCAACGTGAAAGTAATAGTATGCACTAGGTGAGAGTAATGCTTTCAGAATGCTGTAGTTTTCTCCCACCTATAGGACAGATTATTAGCGGGGGTCCTCTGATAATCACAGATGGACACATCTGCTCATTAATTACTAGTCCAATTCGTCTCAGCTGCAGAAGCTGCTTTAAAGTAGGAATGAGGCAGAGTTGCAGGATGGTCATGTGAGAATCTAGAAGTTGGGGGGGGTGCATATCTGATGCATATTTGTATCTTCTTGATTGAGTGTAAATCTTGAAAGAACAGATGCTTTTTAGTTTTCTAGAGGCTTTCTGGTTTCTTTAAGGCTCAAATATAGCCACCTCAGTACTGTTTCTTCTATCCTTAGCTGAAACTAGAAAATGCAGAGAGGTATAAATTCTGATAGGTTTTTTAAAGGCACAACAAAGATGATGTGATACTTTTTGAACTTCAGAAATATTCAGGGTTTGTTTTTCAAGGTTAGGTGGGTGTTTATTTCCTATTGAACCAGCTTGCTCATCCCTATAATACTCAGGAGCGAGATCATTGCAGTTAGAGGTGGAGAAAGGTGTATTAGCATCCATTTACATGTCAATCCAGTAATGCATCGTGCTACTCATATCTCTCCTTTTTCTCTCTTTTTTTTTTCACACTGCTACCTACTAAAACTCTAATCTCCTACTTTGTGTCTGCCAAGTATCCTCTTGCTGCTCCTTCTAATCCCTATTTAAAACATTTTTCATAAAATCTTCCTAAATTTGTCTCATCACTATTGATATCTCCACATCATACCTGTTGTTCCTTTATATTGTCTTAACTGTTTTTATCTTGTAAGCTCTTTGGGGCAGGAGCTGTGTACTCTGTAAAGTACCACGTGTGTTTATGGCTGTATAATAGTAATAATGCCAAGTAACTTGAAAAGAAAACTTTGGACAAGACAATGCATGCTACACAGTCAAGATCTGACACAGGCTTAGAGTTTACCAGTTACCAATATACTTGTCAAAATTTTTAAACAAGTTAGTCCCAAATGCTGTGGAAATCACCAGGCCAAGTTACCATAGTGGTGGTCTATAAAACATCTTCTGTTAACATACAAAACAATAGACATGTTTTTTTGTTTAATTTTGAAATGTTTTCACCCCCCCATTGCACTTTTAACCAATAAATTAGTAGAAATATTTAAGATCAGGCATAGATACTGTTATAATGGAGCATTTATAGATCCATTGTTACTTCAAATATTTCAGAAGCTTTCTCAAATATTAAATGTATATATTATCTACTTTACTGTCCCACACTTCATAGAATTTCAAGTTTTTGATGTTGACCTCAACAGGATAAATGCATTTTCCCACTGGGCTTGACCTAAACCATGAACTTTCTGACCTAATATACAGGTACATTTTGTCTTATGATCCAACATGTGCGAATAGTTTTAAATAATCTTATTTTACAGTGGTATTAAGTGAAGGTCAAGAAAATGTAGGGATTTTTCCAAATTAGTGAAATAAAAGCAAATCTAGATTTGAACTGAGCTTCCTGATTCCTAGTCACTTTCGGAAACTTTTATGCTACATTGAATTTACAGGGGGAACTGTCAACTTGAAATCTAGTCAGTTTTGAAAAATGAGTTTCCAGTGCTACCCTTAGGGTTACCATATTTAAAAAATAAAAAAGAGGACACTCCACGGGCCCTTGCTCCGCCCATTCCCCAAAGTCCCCGCCCTAACTCCCCCTCCTCCCTCCCAGCCACGCGAAAAGGGCTGCTTGAGCGCTACCGGCTTCACGGTTTGCCGGGCATCCTCCAGACC